GTATAAAGTAGCATTAAATGGAAATACTTAAGTACTGTACTTTACAATTGTACTTGAGTTACTTTCCAACGCTAGTTAAGTGAGTGTGGCGGTGTACAGGAAGAGAATTATGTGTAGTGACAGATTGATGTAGCCTCATTGCAGCAGAGAAAATGATCATACATCGTCATCGTCTCGAATTTAGATCTAATTTCAAGATTTAAAGGTTTGTCATTTGCACAACAGCTATAGCAATGTATTTCCTGTCAATCCATAATAATCCTCACTATACCAATCCAATAAAAAAATATTTTGTATATCACTCTAATTCTTAATTTACACACACACAGAAGAAAGTCAGATTCCCAATCAAAGAAACTATGCTACATGTAAACTTTGCATTGGTCCCCCCCTTATTTTTTGGCAACACAACTGCAAAGCCTCAGTTTACACGTGCTTATCTTGGAAACCTCTAATCAGAGAAGTCTGCCGGTGGGAAACCAGTAAATCCTGTGATAAAGCAAGGAAATCACTGGGACTGTATTTGTAGGTATTTTTTTAAGAATTGTAATTAGAGGAATTGTTTGGTAGTAGATATTATCCTTAAAGGTTGGATTAGAATATACTACTCTCTTAATTAAAGTGAAGCTACAGCCAGCAGGCAAATAATACCTAAACCACAGGGACAACAGACAAAAACAGACATGAAATACCTACTAATACCTCAAAGTTTGAACAGTTAACATGTTATATATCTAATTTTCAAAATGTGTCCACATACAGGAATGCAAAACAAACATTTTTTTTCTTTAAGTGAAATCAAGACAGTTAACAACAACCTTTGTGATCTGGTAGTTCAAACTGAAAAAGTGAAGGCTATGCACGTTTGTTTGTATGGCACATTACAAGTCAATTCAAATGTATATATGAAAAAAAACATAACAGAGTTAAAAATAAATACATAATAGAATCTAATGGAAAATACCTTTCAAACAGTCACAAAAAAGCCAAGAGTAAAGAAGCTTAAATAGAATAATAAGACAGGTATATACTACCACCACATGTACTGTAACTATATCTTGACACTTCTTAGTATTGACTTTAATTTGTTATTATATTATTTGTTTTAATATTAGGGCTGGTTTTAATCTGGGTTGAAAGGTGCTTTATAGAATGGTACTTTACTCACAAGGGTCAGCGGGCTTAAACTAATGCCACTGTTATGGGCCACACTTTGGCCGTTGAGTGAGAGGTTTGTCTGTGCTTTTATTTAGTGTAAAACAGAGCTCACATGGGTGTTACTATAGGAAGATGCTCTTTTGTCAGAAGAACAGATCATAAATAGCTGTGAGAGAAACATATGATCACTTCTGTTGAATTAAGTTTTGAGGCATTTTTCTCGCAAGCTTTCTGCGATGATAATGAGCTCGAGTGTGATGTCATCAGTAGATCTCATCAGTCTGATGAGTCTGTGTTAATGGTCTGTTTGAAATAGTGTCAATGTTAATGCTGCTGCTGCAACATTTCCAGATAAGAGAAATACAAACGCTCCAGTAAGTGTCAACTCAACTGCTTTTGACGGTTCTCCCATCAGGACCCTGAACTTCTTTTTTGAGGGTTTTCAAGATTCAAGGCTTTAATTGTCATTCGTACTACAGTGTAGCTACATGAAAATCTTAGGTCACAGGCTCCTCCAACAGTGCAACACAATATAACAGATAAAATAGTGCAAGTAAATACAATAAAATAGAATATAAGTAGTGCCATAAGAGTCTATGTACAAGTGATACATAATTTGTAAGTTGCAACCAGGTGAACGTTATGGATGTTCTTAGTTCAGGTGTTTAACAGTCTTATGGCCTGTGGAATGAAACTGTCCCTGAGTCTGGTGGTTTTAAACCTGATACTGTTTTCTGTCAATTGTGCTGTGTTGTCTGGCAAAACAAGTTGATCAAATGCAGTTTTAAGACCGCAATTTGTGTTTGTATGTGTGTGGGTGTAAAGCCCTACCTTCCTTCTAGCAACACCCTTTTCTCACTGCTGTAAGTAGAGCTCAGGCTGTTTCGAGGCTGTCGGTGAGGTAGAATGCATTTTGAGTTCCCAATTACAGGTTACCACAATCCAACATGACTACCTGCCTGAAGATAGACACACACTGTATGTTTCACTGAGTCACACTGTGAGATAAATACCGATACAAATGGGTTCAGTAATAATACACTACTAAATTCATGAAGCACTTTTAAAGCAGCATTTACAAAAGTGACGTGTGTGCAGGTGTTTTGGGCTGGTTAGTAAAACTCCTTCATTTTGAAGAAAGGAAGTTATATCTCAATTCTGCTATTAACAAACTTTGATATTTAAAAAATGAAATATTGATGTCTATAGTATAAATATATGATCATATGTTGTTGGCAGATGTTAGATTCTTGTTTATAAGTTATTCTGATTGCCTAAACTTTACAAAGCCAAACCTAACATCTTCAAAAGTATATTTTAGTCAGATAATACTCAAAAGGATTTAGCTTAAAATGATATATGACTAGAAAGAGCAGATCATCCTCTAATTTCAGAGGCTGGAATCAGAGAATAGTAAACTAGTTTAACTGTTTCTGCTTGAAAAATTAAGGAAATCATCATTTGATTATGAAAATAGTTATAGAACAATGTACTAACCTTTTCCGGTCTGCTGTGAACTATGTTCTGTGCCCAGAATGTCTTCATAAGTAATAAAATAATGAGTCAGCACACTTATTGATAGAGAAAGCAAGCAATTCAGGAAGCACAATAATAAGAGAGGGAATTAAGAGTTATATGATCTGGAGTAAGGTCATTTTGTAAATGCATGAAGGAGAAATCCAAAGTAAATATTGTTGCGTACTTGTTTTGTATTTTATGGAAGCACTGATAGATTTGCTACATCAACAGATTTGACTTGTTATGTGTGTCTGTTGGTGAGAGCTTGTGTGAAGAGGAAATTGTTGGCGGTGGGGAGTCGGTGCAGGTTTGGTGGGAACAGAAGGTGTCGGGAGGGTAGTGGAGGTTTTATTCAGAGTAACTGTCTCGCTCCCCCCGCTTGTCTCTTCTTTTCAGATGTAGGGTGGGGAGCCTGGAGTCACAGGCCTCAGCTCTTACCTCTGCAGGGAAGTTCATTCAATTTAATTTACATCCGTGATGCAAATCTCACAGATACTTTATCCCAACAAAGACCATTCCAGTGAACAGTGGTTCTTCCATGGGCCAGAGGTCAGCACTCCCCCCTGCTTACACCAGGTTAGCTAAAATGATACAGAAAGAGCTTCTCGTTGGAATACTAAAGCAATGTTGTTGTGTGCTGCCATACCTGATAAGGTATCAGATTTGAAATGGCACATAACTGCACATTCAGCATTGCAAATACAACCAGGGCTATGAGAAACCTGGACTTGTGGTGGGGGAATTTGAGCCAAATGAAACTGAGAGAGAGAAAAGCTGAAGAACCACAAACACAAACATCACATAAACCTGAGGCAGAATGAGATCCTTTACTGGTTACATCTGTCCGGTTTTGTTTGTTGGATTGCCTCAGCAGTCTGGTTGAACAAGTTATCACAGGTGTGTGTATGTTTGACTTTACAGTCATTACACATTTGGTCCCTTGTTTCAGGAAAGCTTTCAAAATGGAGTCCTGAAAAGCCACACAGCATGACATGAGGGCCTTATCCAGCAAACATTCGTGTCTGTGTGGCGACAAGAAGGGCCTCAGAAACATTGAATAACTTATATATTATCTGTTACACAATTACAGAGAATATAAATGATTTGAAACCCGTCAAATTCACAAGATTCCTTTTTCATAAAATCATAGCCACATGCTAAAGATTGAAAAATACTAGAAGAAGCTATGTGGGGTATTTGCTTCTTTGATTAAACACAACAAATAGAGATTGATGCAGCTTCTCCTTACTGTATGCCCATACTGTTTCTCACAGCTTCATAAAAGTCATCATAAAGTCAGCCAAGTTGGTATTTCACCAATCTAACAATGTAACCCCACCAGCAAACACACATTTCTCCTTTCTACATGATTTTAGAAAGGAGAATAATGTGTGTGCTGGTGGGGCAAAAAGGAAGTAGCCTATGTTGGTGATCTGTCTGAGTCACTTTCTGTGGGAGGTGTATGGGCTCCGCTGCTATTACCGGTATGTGAACACACAAATCACAATGTCCTGTACCTTAGTGTTGTAAAGATAAAAGTATGTATTCAAATATATCTATAGTCTGATATCTAAATCCAGCTGCTATTTAATCTTTTATGGAAAAATATTTGATTTGACTTGCATGGGTCAGGCCGTTGTGGGCAAGACAATTCACCCCAATTTGCTCCTGTGGGTATTGTCCACAGTATTCACTGTTACATGTCCAATATGTGTAATAATATGTAATGTAAAGCGCTTTGAGCACATTTATAAGCGCTCTTATAAATGTAATGAATTATTATTATTATTATTATTATTATGGGTGATTAGTAAGTTAATTTATTGTGTTTTATTTGGTGAAATCTTTAAAGAGGAGATTCTTTAAACCTTCTTCAGTTTTTAAACAGAAACAAAAATATATTTACATTATGTTTTAGTTTGTGGACATACAGATATGCAAGGCAGCCATTTTGTAATTCATATTTTGTTTTTCCTCTTTAAAAAATAATAATTCTATCAGCATCCCATTCAATCCTACTCTAACAATTTCAAATAAAAAAACTAAAAGCAGGTATATTTATATTTAAAAATATACCTTTTTGAAAGCAGTTAATTAGAAACCACAGTCAGCAACGCGAGAACAAAAGATATCTGAGAAAAAAGAAGACAAATGTAAAACCATTGCGATTGTGTCACATCCTCCTTCTTCGTCCCCATCAGTGGGAGGACAACAGCGGAGACCCGTTCTGTGTACTGATTGGTCAGCTGGATGTAACAACAACGCTGATTGGCTGAGAGATTGCCGCTCCTGAGCTTCTATTTTGAACATAAATACGAGCAGCTTCAGACTTTTTTTCTCACAAACCAGGGGCTGTCAGTCAGAGAGGGAGTACGCCGTGATGCACCTCTCTGACGCAAACAACAACAACTATGCGGCTGTAGTACTTTAGCAATACCAAATCAACGCTTCACTTCAATCAGAACCATCGGATCGTATATTTCGAAAAAATGTTTTCCTAAATTATTATTGCTACCTAACTTGTTAGCTTCCAGGTTAGCTTGAAGTTTGGACCGTCTTGCTAATTCGTCACTTTTCGACTCGAAATTCAAACGTAATCTACCACAAAGCAATACCGTCTGCAGGATTATTACACATTGGACAGCTAAAGATGGAGTCTGTAGATCTATTTGGCTGCACCAGTCCTGTTAAAACTGTTTTGAAAAGAAGGCCCGACACGATCCCCGGGCTTTCCTCGCCCGAGATGAGCACAAAGAACGCGCACTGCAGGGACCTGTTCTCCCCTGGACCCGCTGCTGTGCTGTCGCCTGTTACCAATTTGGCTCTGGACATGAACAATTGGGCTGGACTTGGAAGGTATTATTATTATTAGAGCATTAGGTGTTATTTCGTACACTGTGTTCGGCTTCTGTGTTTTAGAAAGCCATTGACAAAACCTTCCTAGCATGCATTGTCTGGTTTACTGTTTACATTATTATTTGTAATTCTCATCTTTTCCCATTTGCAGTTTATGTGATACCCCGAAAAGGAGAAAGAATGCAAACCTTGAAAAGATTCCCTCCTTTGCCTCTGACGTCTCATCTGATGCTGGTGAGTCCCATAAAAACCTATTGTCTGTGTTAATTGATGCTGTTAGAATGGATGCCTGAGCCAGTTGCTCCACTTAATGGTTATGTCCTTAAGATGTTGCCATGGGATTATTACTAAAAGGTGGATTATTAGTAAAGAAAAAGGCCAAACATTACCATGTTTCCCCAATTCTTAGTTTTGAAGATGTGTGGGTTTTCTCTGTCTTATGTGATAGTTCACACTATCTTCACATTTTGGGATGTTATTCGGACAAAACAATTGATTTGAGTTATTTAGTTATTATTAACTTCAGGTAATTCAGATTGTGATAGATTAATCACTTGTAAAAAAAATATTCTTTGTTCTGTTGCACAAATTCACTACATTCTACAAATGTAACTGCTTTACATTGGAAAATAAAATTCATATTTGCTGTTGACCTGGCTGGATACGCAAAATTCCCCAGCCACAGTTCTTCATCTAAAGGTATTCCACTGGTTATTGGTGCCAGTTACAACCTGATGTTTATATTGATTTTATATAAATCTCTTCCTTCAGGCCTCGGCATGGATCCCATGGATGCTCAGGGATTGAACGACTCGTAAGTTGCCCTCTCCTTGTCATGTCTGCTCGCATCAATCAGCCTCAGTCGTGCCCCTCTGCCTACCCCATAACCAACCCCCCCCCCCCCACCTCACTTCCTCCCTCCGCCCTGCGCTTGGTCTCAGCTGAGCCAGGCACCATTTCTCATCTGTAGGATTATTGTTTCTACCGTTGGCTTAAAGATGGCAGCTTCATTTGTTTTTTTTACTAAGAAGATTAGCAGATAACGACAAGTGAGCTTAACTTTCTTCAAGTTATTAAGAGAAAAAACATAGAAGCTTTATATTTGCCTGGTTATCTTGACCAGTTTGTCAGCATACTTTCAGTTTGCTTATCTTGGGTGGCCCTTTATCTTAATTCTGAGTTGGGTGAGACCCTGCAGACATCTGCCACTGTCTGATGTGCAACTTCCTTTACAGCAGCATTTGGTCCTCAAGACCTCATTCACCCCCTTAACAGCTGCTCAGTTGCTAGGCATATTCCAGGTTGGGGGAGGACATGCCCTGCGCTTGGGTTTAATGATAGCACCCCCTCTGGGTTTTGGCACACTCTCCCTATGCACTGTTATTTCAATAGGAATAGGGGGGCTAGAGCTTTTTCTGCATCAGGGCCATTGAAATGAGGGCACCCTAGAGAACAACTGCCCCCCCCTCCGCTAGGTCTGCATTGAATGGGACACGCTCTCTCCTCGACAAACAAAGGGCTCTTGCAAATAAGAGGTCGTGGCGTAGGCTCCATCAGGCATATGGTAGATTAGAAGATCTCTGCACCACGTCTCCTGCTCTCCCTCCCCCCCCTCACTCTGAGCTCTTCACTCATTTAGCATACAGGTGGGCATTATTCCATTGCAAAGACCACCTCTCTCCTCGACGCATTCACCCAACTTCCTCTTGTCCAACCGTTCCTCTCTTTCTCAATAGACCTCCAGCTTCTTTGTCTTTGTAGTTTATGAGCACAAGGTGTTTTTCTAACTGCCAATGAAGGCCTTTCTGCCCCTTTCCCCGGCAGGTTTGGTTTCAAAGACATGTTACTTTTCCCTAGGTTAGAACTTACTTGTTAATTGATTAGTTGATCAACATTCAAATGTCAGGATTATAAAACTATTTTCTATCATTTCATTTTACATTATTGATAATTGTCAAATGATAGTTAATAATATTGATGGTAATTGCAGCTCTCCTATTCTCTCTTGTACAATATTTGTTTTATTCAAATATATTTTCAACTAATTCTGAATTGTCTGTTATATTTTCTGTCACAGATTTGAATTTGAGAAGACCATTCAACAGGCGAGCAGAGTCATCAATAAGTAAGTGGCTTTCTAGTATTGAACCTATTTGAACTTTATAATCCTCAAAGTAAAACAGCCTCTGTCTGTTTTAGATTTGTATTGACTGAAATTCCTTCATCTACCTTTTTCCAATAACAGCAGGATGCCAATTAGAAGAATCAACTCTTTGCCGGTGAGTAGATTTAATATTATTTTTGCTTAAAGCCCTGCATGACTTATTTCAATGACTTGTGTTCATTGCTGTACAAATGTATCCTCCTGTTTTGTCTTAATTTGGCTGTTGGGCATTTATTTAGCCATAATATTCCCATCATAAAATAGGTCTCCGAGGAATTTAGAGTAGGAAAATTACACACACACACACGGGCCTTTTAGCCTCACTTTCATTTTGCAGCTGGGTTTGAGTGACATGACTATCTGGAGGGCAGTTTTTCATATTTCATATCCTCAAGTGAACATCTACTACAGTAAGGCTTGTCTACGTTTGCTGAGCCCTTCTCTAACTTGGCTCCCTCTCCCCCTCCCCAAATCAGCTCCAGCTCCAGCTTTGCAGTCCACCAATGAAGAGACAGGAAACAGATTCCCACCGCTATGGAATATTCGGACAACAACCCTCCCAAATGACCGCCTCCTCCTCCTCTCAACGTGACAACAAGGAGAACATGCCGGAGGTCAGTGATGCTGTTTACTGTCAGTCTTCACTGACAACACACATCAGCTGATTTGTTGCCATGGCGAAAGCATTGCATCATTTGTCTTAAAAGCTTGACCATTACTAGCATTTCATTATGACGCTCAAAATACTTTATTTGATTAATATCAGGTGTTTTTAAAGGGATATTTACCTGAGCACTGGAATTTTTTTTCCCTCCCGTAAGTCAGTGAACTTATTACTTTTATAAGATAAGGCTTCAGATGGGCATTGGTTTATTCTGCCTCTTTCTATATTACTTCGTATATCATTTGTTATCCTTTTTTTTGTTATTGTGCAATTAACATTTTAAGTTTATAGTTTGTACAGACAATAATTGCATGCAAAGAAATGGTGTGCCGTTCACCAACAAAATCATTAGTCGCCATTGGGTTAGTAGTGTTGGAAAGGGTTTGCTCAAAAATAAGGTGCTGTCAAAAGGCTTCTTAAAAAGTGTTACGCTTGGATTTTACTAAATAATATATTTTTTTGCAGGAGTGCTTTGAATTTAAGAAACCCACCAAGCCGGTGTCTCGGTGTCGTGTGCGCTCCTTGAACAGCGGCCAGGCGTTCGCCCACCGCCCCAGCTCCGCTCCGGCTCTCATGGTGCGTGACTGAAAAAACCGCTGTCCACATCTAGTGCACATACCAGGAGTTCTAAGATGCTAACACTCATGTTCTCCCCTCCTCCGATCCAGCAGCTTGACTTTGAGTCCAGCCCCATGTTCCTGAGACGTACCTCCACCGACTCGCCTCTCAATGACGACGAGGACGACGGCGGCTTCCTGGAAGGAATGGATAACATGGAGGTGAGGCACTTGCACAGAGTTTCTGCTACTTAAGAAATCTACTAAACCATTGTTGTTTTCTTGGAATGTTTCATAACATCACCCTTTTATTTCTCAGTTTTATCTTCATCAAACTCCCAAAATACTAACTATTTGTCACCTACAGGATGAGTCCACGATGCCGATGCCGATGGGAATGGCCTTACTGCTCATGGCCCCGCTGGTGACCGACGGTTCAGGAGAAGACTCTGTAAGTTTGTCTGCCATGTGCTTGTTAGTTTACTGTATGTCAGATTTGTTGGAGGAGCCTTGGATATAGACTAGCTGTTGTCACAAAAAACCCTTGAGGTCTGATTCTTAAGTTAACATTTTTTCTTTCCTCCAGCCTTTGATCCTCTGCCGGCCCCGCAGCCTGTTCCGCTCCCCCTCCATGCCGAACCCCCTCCCCTCACGCCCGTCTGCGAAGCGCCCAGACTGTCCTGCAGATGACAACACTCCGGTCCGGGTGAAGAGGCGCCGCAGCGTGGCAGGAACTCAGGTCACCCCCCTGGAACAAAACGCAGAATCACCCAGAACGGTGAGAGAGAGCATCATCATTAACTCAAATTAGTTTGAATTAGCCCAGTGTTGAGATTACGTCAACATTATGAACCAGGGTCATAATGTTGACAACATGGAGGAAGTAGCACCAATCTTAAAAAAACAAAAGCCAGGGCCGGGGCCATCTAGTATTTAGCTCGGGCAATGAAGCCTCACCTGCTGGTTGCCCGATCGGGCAATCTATTAGGCCAGTATCATGCAGCTCGCGGATCGACAGTAAAACTAAACATATCTATAACTAGTTACGGTAGTTTGAGAGGTAATTAAAATCGCTACGTGTGATATTCTAACCTGAAGTGTGTGTTTTGTCCGCTCACCGCTGCAGGTGATCATGCAGAGCTGCGTGTCGACTCGTCAGCAGCAGCTGATCTCTCTCTCCCGTCAGATTAGACTTCACTCGCGTTTATGTCCATATCGATCAGATCCAGCTAGTTCTAGCTAATGATATGACTACCTGCTTATTAAAAGACACCTAAACAATAAGCGTCGCTATGCAACCGGGTGAGGCCGCAAAGTATAGCGCAGCATTATGCATTTGTTTACATGTCCACCGGAACCCCGAGGCATTACCAACAGATCAACCCACACAGGACATCTATTTCTCCACATTAAGTGTTGGACATCAGAATTGACTATTCATGTCTGTCACATACTCCTGTTGTCTGTCACATAAGTGGCGCAACTGAAGCGGTATTGCGCTAAGGGGAAATTATTTTGACCGAAGAGATTTCGATTTGCCGGCTAACGGGAACTCTGACGTCGCCATTTTGTGTGCTTCGCGGATGCGCTCGGCTCCTCTCGACTGCTGCTCGGGTCTGCTCGGTCAGCTTCCGGATGAGGACGCATTCGTTCGACCAACTTACAGTAGATAACATTACAAACATTTTTAACAGGGGCCATACTAGTGTAAATAATGTTTGTTTTGGCATTAATAACTGAATGTAATGGTTTCTACTTTTTTACATCTGGGAAGGCATTTGCCTTCATCAGATGGAAACAACTTAAGTGTTTCTTATAGCTATGCAGGGCGAGCAAACACAAACGAGAACAAACAAACAAGTGAAATGAAGAATAAAATTGAACAATATAATATTGTGGTGGTTCATCTTATAATTCAGTCTAGAGAATGCACCAGACAGCATCTAAGACCTGCACGAGGCCCCCCAAACCCTTCGTGCATCATCAGTACCTATCAGTCCCATTCAGGAAGAGTACTTTTGGTCAGTCATCATTCTCGGTCACAGCGATACAAAACTGGAATTCTCTACCCACTCAAATCAAAGACATACACACACATCCCACCTTCACAGCTCACTTAAAAACATGGTTCACTGAGAACTACACCTGCACACACTAGTCTGTGTTGAGTATGGCGTGAGTGTTACATGTTGTGATCCTGGATGTTGCCCCTCGTTTCTGTTATGTGATTGTGATTGTGATGTGCTATATGTGACATGTACTGTATGTAGTAACGTGTGTTTATAGTTCTCTTGTATCCTCACACCTGTATCTACTTGTCTTTCCTCCTTTTTATTTTATTTTATATATTTTCTTATAACTAATGCTGTTGATATATTATTACCATCTGGCCGGGGACAACAGCTGGAAATTAGCCATGTCGGCTAAAGCTGCATCATTTCTGTTCATCGATGGGGACTGTCCACGACATTATAAATAAATAAACTAAACTAAAATGGGCACACGCCATCTTGTGCAGATTGTGGGTCAGTAGTTGGTAGTTTACTGGAAAATGCAACAGGATGCTGTAGACTTTATTTTTGAGCATGCATTTTAAATAAGTATTGGTGATGCTACAACAGGAATAAGTAGGCCCGCCTAGGGATGCACCAGTAACCGGTATTTCGGTAATACCGGTATTACCGAAATACCGGTTACTGGTGGCTACGGTATACCGTACCGAAATCAGATCCGGTTTCGATACTTAAAAAAATATATATTTTATGTATTTTTCATTGTTTGTTCTAGAAAGGTAAAAGTCCCACAAATGAACTGTGATGGGATTTGTTTTCTCTCACCAGTGAAGGCCAATGTTGATTTTAAAGATGAGATTTGTTTGTTTGTGCAATGCCGAGATCTCATGACCTTTATTCTATTATTTATTTGTTCTCTAGTCGAATCTCAGGTTTAACATTAATTATAACGGTGCTATAACGGTCTGTTTGCATTGACAAGATGTGCTATTCACGCGGCACACCTGATGGCGGGTGTTATAAAAGATATTCCATAATCGGTTTTCTTCATATTTTTTATGTATGTTTCATTGTTTGTTCAGTACTAAAAAGGTCCAAGAAGTCCCACAATTGAATTTAATATTCATTTGACATGTCAACTATATCGTAAAGCGCTTCATGGGAGTAATTGTTGGATGATACATTTTCAAAGTATCACGATATGTATCGGTATCGTTCAGTGGTATCATAAAAAAGTCAACGATATGCATCCCTAGGCCCGCCTGCTCTGTAGTAAACTCTCTTTCGCCTCACCCTCCGCCTCCTCAGTGGAGAAACACTTGCTGAGGCCGACTGGTTTTTGTTTCCATCTTTACAGACAATCTTTAATTGGCTAGTCTTCTCCATGGCTGCCCCCCTAAATGTTTCCTCCTCTTCTTCAGGGCTGCTCTCTGCTCCAGAGATCCAAGTCTTGCTGCCAGACGAATATCGAGAAGCTGCTGGACGGCGACGACACCTCTAATGATCTAATAGGAGATTTCACCAAGGTAATGAAGTTACCGCTGTGTTCCTTACACTGATAACTTACTGGTGTGAAATCACTCGTCTGATCCAATTTCTTATTTTGTCTTTCAGCCTTTTGTGCTTCCCACAGTGGAAGGCAAACATCAAGACCTCAAGTACATCACCCCAGACACGGTGAGCACTCAGAAAACACTATGATAGTTTTCCCTATCTAGTTAAAGTTATTGCCACGTGTCAACACTTTCAAATATTAACTTGTGTTCTCCGTTTCCTTCAGATGGTGTCGGCTCTCTCCGGTCAGTTTAATCATCTAGTGGAGCGCGTCATCGTCATGGACTGCCGCTACCCCTACGAGTTTGAGGGGGGACACATAAAGGTGAGCGACGATCTCAAAACATGTGTTTTCAAAGCATAGAAAACTCTATGCTTTTTTTTTAAACAACCAGCTTGACTTGGAAATGCTTTAGTTTCATGAGTTTTTTTTATAAATTGGAGTTTCTGAGGCGCACTTCTGATTTGTTTTCTAAGACTCACTCCTTCCAAATAGATAACTGAAAAAATTGGCCTGCACATTTTAGGTTATGCTGCTACTGTAATGACCCAACAAAAAATCTAAATGTATTCAGTGTCGCATTTCCTCACCACACACATTTAAATTACATATATAGCTCACTGTGTTAATTACATGTAAGAATATCTGTTTTGACTCTCTTTGTCTGACACTGTATTTCAGAGTCTTCGTGCCTCTCTGTCGCTTCCTGTGCTCTATTAATTGAACGGTTGGTTTTGTCTCTTCTCATCCAGGAAGCTCTGAACCTCCACCAGGAGATTCAGGTGGAGGATTACCTCCTGAAAACGCCTATCGTCCCGTCCTGCCCGGACAAACGCGTCGTCGTCATCTTCCACTGCGAGTTCTCGTCGGAGCGTGGCCCTCGAATGTGTCGCTTCGTCAGGGAGCGAGACCGCGCCGCCAACGAGTATCCAAACCTCCACTACCCCGAGCTCTACATCCTGAAGGGCGGATACAAAGACTTCTTCCCTCATTACCAGGTCAGTTCCTGCTCTACGTTGCTTGATGATAAATCCATCTCACCACAGGGTCCAGCCAGTAGCTTTTCAAGAGATTTTAAATTATTTTGCGGGGGGGGGGGGTTATTATCACTTTTGGGTTATTTACTGACGCATTTTAGTCATAGAACTTGTCATAAAACGTTTAAATCTCTTGCGCCTTTTGTTAAGCAGAGACCTAATGTTAGGCTCTCACAAAAACCCATAAAAAAAACTTGGCCTAATGGAACCAGAAGTGCTAAAACTCAAATCCCAGTTTAAACAGTAGTTCCTTGAATTGTGATTTTTGTTGTGAAGTCAGATCTCAACTGTCACTGTTGAGCATTTAGTGAGCACTTCTCCCGCACAGTGACGGCTGAATGTAACCGGTCCTCCTCTTCCTCTGCAGGCACAATGTGAACCTCAGGCCTACAGGCCGATGCACCACGTGGACTTCAAGGAGGACCTGAGGAAGTTTCGCCTGAAGAGCCGCACCTGGGCCGGGGAGCGCAGCAAGAGAGACATGTACAGCCGCCTGAAGAAGCTGTGAGCGCCTCCTAAGAAACACACTGCCCCCCCATCAATATACAATGCCCCCCCCCCCCAACCAGGAAATATCTTTTTTAGGGACTGTGCCAACAGAAAGGTCTCAACATTTTCCCTGTAACTCAAGCAAAGTTAGTTATTTATTCAAATGTTAAGAGGGGAAAGACGTGACCTAAAGCTGGCGCTGAGGGGCAGTGCACAGATTTCACTGAGAAGCAATGTGATCGTTTTTAATAACCACTCGGACCTACTGCCTGTTTTTAAAAGGTTTTTATTATTTTGCTGCCTTTTGCGGCACAACTTGCAATATCACAACCCACACTGCATAGGCTAAAGTTCTCCAGGCTCCTCACTGGATTTTTTTTTTCGTCATGTCCCACTTTATCGTAGCACTTAAATTAAATAACTTGAAATGGTGTGGTGCTTTTTTATACTCCTTTTTGATATAAAAATGTTTGCTAAATTGTGTCTACCCCATTTATATTGATTTGTTTAAAAAATGCCTTTCTCTAGGCATCCTAAAATGCAAATTTGATATTTTTACAACAACTTGTACAGATTGAATGCAGAGTTTTTCCTTTTCGGATCATTTGTTCTCTGTCAGAAGATACCAAAGCAAACCCACTACCTGTTAACTTCGCAGTGAGATTCACCTGATGCTGCAGGCCAGCAAGTGATAGGAGTTCTTGATCTAAGATCCTTTGTTTTGCTTTGATTCTTTTACATTTCCAGAGATTAAAATGTCTTCCACTCTGCAGAGTTAATGATGGTTTATAATGAACTGGCTTGAAGATTTTGGTACAGGCTTGTGGGGGAGCTGCTGAAATAAAAGCCAATGTGTGTTCAAACGTGACGTCAAGTTTATTTTTCTAATGGAGCTTCCCTCTTGTGCTGTGAATATACTCGTGGAGCCGACACACAATATTGACTAACAACTATTTTAACTTCCTAATGTTACAATGAGGAATATGTTTTCATGGATGAACACTTGCCACTATGAAACGATGGCTTTAGCCTGCTGGCTTTTTGCTAAAATACCATAATGCAATTCTTAACTTGGTCTACTAATTTAGTTTAACTATTTTTGAAAAGGACCTGAATGGATTATGCTACATTTTAGGTTAATATTAATGTTGTACCCATAGACTGTGTGTGCGTATATATATATATATATATATATATATATATATATATATATATATATATATATATATATATAGGGTTGTACCTCTACTGTGACATGCTTTAATGCTTCAGCACCTCTTTTCACCCTCTGTCTGAAACCAGAGCCTAGTCTGCTCTGATTGGTTAGCTGGCCGGCTCTGTTGTGACTGGTCAACCGCTTAGAGATGTCCAACCCCTTAACCAATCACGAAAAATGTGTTGGAGCATGTGTTATGGGAGGTAAACAAATGTATCCAACGGAGACAGGGGGGGGAGTGTGTGGGAGAGGAACTTTGAGATTTTAGCCTCTGCAGACCCTTTACATGCACACAAACTTACATGACACACTACAGGAAAGAGAGAGCATAACAGGCTCACTTAAACAAACTATTGTGTTTCATATGCAAGGGATAGAGGAGAGGAGCTGACATTGTCCTAGAAAGTATATGGCCAAAAGTGTTGGTATCTTTGTTTACTAAGCAGAAAAGCCAAGCAATCGGAGCTTAAAGAATCGTTATTGTGAGGACATATTTTACTCTTTCATTGGACCTGAGTATATAACAATTAGAAATAAAAAAACGTGTTAGTTTCAGCCCGACTTTACATATCAGTCCATGTTCCTTATTTAAGACCTTATTTTAAAGTAAAGTTGTAAAGCCTTGGGTGTGCAGGGTTCGTTAAAGTCAAACTAGAATGTCCACTTCTTAAGTCTAAACAAAAGCACTTCCGCCTTTTTGTTTGGGCTTCTCTGCAGCACATGTTTCCAGTGGTTCTTGTTTTTCAAATCTTCCCTCTCTAGCCGACCTTGGGAGTGGCCTCTCTGCTGCGCGCGCGCGCACACACACACATTCCTGTATGCAGAGGGAGAGTCTGTGTCAAAGCGCCTGGCCGACAGCCGTGTCCTGACAGGAGGATTGAAATCAGCCACCTCGTGCTGTAAACACGTGGTGGTTAGTGAAGTGGTCGTAAAGAAACTCCCTCGCTTCTGGCACTTTACCAACGTTTGAAATCAGGCAGTTTCCCAGCGGCCATGTTGGTTAAGACGGGGAGTCTTTGTTTGCATTCCTGGGATCTAAAGACCCATTTACAGCCAACAGTTTCCAGCTGACACAAGTGACCGTTGTTCGTCTTCAACGGAAGATGCTTTAACTCTGGAAATAGGATAGAAACTAGGGGGGTGAAAAGGAAGAGGAAACTATGTCTGTTCTGGTGATTTTTACATGTACAGTATTTGTCAGAGGGGCTTTTTCATTCGTGTTAGGCAGCCACATTTCTCTGAGTAAGACAATTAAAGGGCCAGTTGCTGAGCCTCACGCCTTCACACCACTCCACAGTGGGTTTCAAAATGTAGATGAGGACTTGGCTCGTCCCACAAATGCAAACCCAGATTTTACAAGTGGATCTGTCAATGAGCCGGAGGTTAAACAAATTAAAAGGGGACCTTTACCTTTTGTTCGACCAGGACCTTTGTTTTTAAGATAAGATAAAATGGGCTTTTATTAATCCCTCGTGTGGAAATTGTTTCTCTGCATTTGACCCATCCTGTGTTAGGAGCAGTGTGCTGCCATGAACGGCACCCGGGGAGCAGTGTGGGGAACGGTGCCTTGCTCAGGGACACCTCGGTAGCACTTGGTCTTGCCGGGACTTGAACTGGTAACCTTCCAGTTGCCAAGCCAAGTCCCTATCGATTTCGCCACCACCGCCCACCCAAGAAGATTCATAATGTGTGCTTGTTTTGTTTTATATACTTTGTTAGTTCTTCATGAGATCAATCATTACATTGTGTAATGTGTTAAAAAGTTAAGCAATATTGTGACATGCTTTAGTGTCTGTTTCCAGTACCAACTCTTTTACATTTAACTTACAGATTAGAACATTTTATTTAGCTTTTTATGGAAATATAAGCATATTGAACCATTCCTGACCCCTACTTCAGTATCATGACTTCCAAAGCATTTTTTAAATCTGGTATGGGGGGCTTTTAGCAAAATAAAGTTGCTGTCACTGGTGTGTTGGGTAGCAGTGGGGACAAATGTTTTTAAAAGGTGTCTCCCTGTCAGGTTGGAAACAAATCTGTTCATCAAAACTTAAACGACTTCTCATACTGCAACAGTGTCTATAAAACGACCCCACCCTTCCTATCAACATCTCTTCTCTGGGGATCCACCTCTTAACCCCCGGGTCCTCTAAGCAGCTGCAGAGGTGAATCAGAGGTCTTTAGTTGTTGAAATTGACAGTAAACTGACAACCCGGCCTGTAAAACAAGGCCCTAACAGCCTTTGAAGGTGGTGAAACATGGAGCATTAACACTGTGGTTTCTAAGGAATGTTTTTTTTTTTCATGTTAAGCATTAGAAACTTGTGCTATATGTCTGCACACCCTCTGCAGGCTGAGATTATTTCCCCATATGTTCAGGATGTTTTCACTTCCCCCTGCAGAGAATACAGACAAGTCCAGAAGTGATGTTAGCCTCAGGTTGTCGTTGTTAGCTTCCTTTGTTTCAAACTCGCGGGCCTCGATTCGATTGGTCCTGAGAGCGCTGCCCTACTTCCTGTTGTTTGTTTTATTCAGCTGGTTTGTTTCATTAGAGGAAAATATGACTCAGAGATTAAAAAAACAGTGAAGCCAGCTTTACTTGTGGTTTTCATGACACCACTCGCTGCACATCCTGCATGCTCACAAGTCTTATCCTCTACTTCTGCTTAATACAAATCTGAGTTTCACACTGATGCTGGAATCTAGCTTTGCTTTCACTTTGAATCTTTACTCTTATTTTGGCTAATCATTACTGCAGTGGTCCCGTTCATTCACTTCTTTATTATAGGAGTGACAGCTGTGTTAATTATTACTCACAGCGTGTGTGCTGCAGAGAGATTCTGCTGCACACAGGGAGCCTTCACACAACTACACTAAACATGAAGTGTTTGCTTAGTAAATAGGAATGTGGTGTAAACGCAGGATTGTGCTGTAGAGCCCATTATAAGCATTGCTTATGACTATTTTGTATTATATTGTGTATTATTTACACGTTTTACACATTGTATTACAAACACACGCTTTAAACACACGAGAAGTTGGATATGTGTTTTATTTTAAATAAGAAATGTATTTACAGTACTTGCACTTAGTGACATTTGACCGTAGTAGATATCATTTCCCTGCTTTAATACAAATTAGACCTGCTGGTGGCTCTAGACAAAAAGACAAAGGCTCAACAAAGTGGTTCAGATTTAACATCATGGGGTTTTGACAAGATTTAATAGATAACAATCTGGTAGTTGCTGAGGTATTTTAATCTGGTGATATTAAGGCCCTGAACCATTAAACCTAATGATCAAGTGTTGCTGCTGTCGTTGATAAAAACAAATGACAGCAGCAGAGCAGAATGCCAGGTTTTATTGAACCTAAAAAGAGTAAAACTTTCACACAACTCGCTCCACCACCTGGAGGACTTGTTTCAGCGTGTCAGAGTCTGTGCGATGGCGAGGAGGTTAACAGGGCGGAGACCATGTTAACGAAGCTGAGTGAAGGTTTTCTTTCTTTCTCTTCCCTCTGTCACACACACACACACACACACACACACACACACACACACACACACACACACACACACACACACACACACACACACACACACACACACACACACACACACACACTCAAACAAACAAACACTCAAACACTCAAACACACACTCTGAGCAGGGCCTCAGCAGGGTAAAGAAGCATGACCAGCAGCAGCTGCTGGATTAACAGCTGTCTCTGTTTGTGTGCTGAGACGCTGAAACACTTTGTGATCAAACATCCCTGCAGCTGCCTCTCAGCCATGTTTTCAGTTTGGTCCTTTCTTATCCAGTTGAGGGTGATCTGATCTGATAAAGTAATGGTTTTAATATGTTTTTCAGCAAGCCATCTCAGAATTAATATCATAAATATATTGTTTCACTAATATTGTAGGGTACATATTTATTGTTGTTATATATTATTGTACAATGTGCACATTTTTTAACATTAATTTCCTCCTGTTTCAATAAATATTGGTGTTTTATTTTATTTGTTTAATTCTTTATTGTATTTATTTATTCTAAAATGGAGCCCCCTTTCCCCTGGGAATAACGTATTCGGACTCTGTTTCTGATGCAAATGCATATTGTGGTATTCCACTATAATAATACATTTTATACATTTTTTTATACATTTTTATACATTTATAATACATCTTTATGTTTCTGGGTGTAATATAGAATATGCTATTTGAATATAATACAATATAATATGATATAATATAATATGATATGATATAATAAGACATAATGCAGGGGTGTCCAAACTTTTTTCACCGAGGGCCACATACAGTCAAATATACGAAGGGCTGGTCCACTCACTAAAGGTATATTGTCTTATAAGTTAGCAAAATCAATCAAATGTAGGTCAATGATGCTTGATACTTGAATATGCTTTGAGAAAACAAACAGCCTACATCACAGCTCTCCAGAGGGTTTCATTCTTTTTGTTAGCAGCTCATTCCTTAAAACAGAAGCCTCAGATTGCTTATAAGAGGACATAGGAAGTGTATATTTCAAGATTGTTATGCAAATAAGTTATTGGGCTTTTTTCTTATCAACTTATCAACTTCTTTTCAACTTTAATTGACTGAATTTATTTGAAACATTGGGCTTATTAATACATGAATACTACTGTGTAATATATGTTTACATATATATTTGAGAAGTACAATACAAGACAAGCACACGTTTCATTTGTGGGCCATATTTCATTATACTTTTGGATTTTGCTGAGGGCCGATTAACAATGGCAATCCGCATTTGACCCCCGGGCTGTAGTTTGGACACCCCTGACATAATGTTACATATTAGATAATGTGATATGACATGATGTAATATGACGTACTTTGAGCGCCATCTTGTGGTTTAAACATCACATAACAACGGCAGCTGAGAGTGGTCACCTGACTAACGCGGAAGTGCTCTATCAGCAGCAACAACAACATGACCCGTGCACAGTAAACACTGCTTTGAAACATAAGTATATTTTAGTTGGTTTTTCTGCAGCATGGTTCGCTGCTTCCTGATCCACACAGTGTGCCCGGTCAATGCTCTCGGGGCCGGGGAGAGTCGGGTGCTTTACTGCCGGGTCTTCGGTCCAGATGAGAGCCTCTTCACCGACCAGGAGCGGGAGTTCAGCCCGGAGGAGAGGCGGGTTCTGCAGAGGGAGCAGACCGCGGTGGTGGCACGGTGAGCCGAGCTGCAAACACATCCAGTTTAAAATGAAATCTGTGAAAAGAAAATACATCTGTGAGGACGATTTAGCAGCATTACCAGACTTTTGTTATTGAAATTCCTCTGGATGAACAGTTTGTTACTACACTGGACGAGTAGGGCAAACCTTAGTGCCTTTTTAATTTTAAATGAATATTAATACAATTGTTCAATATTTTCCATGTCATGTGATGTGACCCAGTGACAACAAATCAATGCAGCATGATATAACTACACTGGACTTCTTTACTTTAATGGATTTTAATTGGTTTGTTTACTTTATATGAATATTTTAAATAAAAATCAGCAGTTTTATCCTTTCAAACTTTTGTATTTGTTTTAATAGCTTCAACATCATGTGATTTTACGAATCTTAATCAATCTATCGGTGTACAAGTATAGGACAAAACTCCTTTTATTGCTTTTTTAGTGTTTTTACATGTTTTATGAATATTGTCTTGAACTTAGTTTTTATTGAAACGGCCCCCACATTTCCAATAGCTTCCATCCCATGTGACTTATCGATTTAAATGGGTACTAAGTGTTGTTATTTGGTTCAGCATTTTGAACTTGATGATTGTCTTCATTCTCTAAAATAATGAAATTCCTGTGAACCTCATAAGAGGATACCCTTTCCACACTTTCTACCTGTGTTTATAATACTAACGCTTTCACTCACTCTCATTTCTAGACATTTAGACTTAGTTTATCCAAGAGCAACAGCACCCTCTTCCTGTCTTTTACTTCATTGCATCCGCTCCTCTTTCTGCTTCCTGCTGATTTCCTGATTGATTGATTGATTGAAAAGTTTATTAACAGCTTGTATATTGGGTACAGTACAGTACAGCTCAAAACATACAATTGTTAAGGGGATGCTGACCAGAGAAAGACTTTCGTCTTGTTTACATCAGGGTCCCCCATTTCCAATTCATCATGTCATTTAAGACATATAAGACATATTTGACATACAGATGGCTTATTTACAATTTACATACAGGTGGTTTTTTTACATACAGATTGCTTATTTACAATTTTCATTTTAGATTTCGTTCTAATACATCCTAACCGGACATTTAAGACATACCAAGTCTACAGATATACAGTTAGTAACAGAGTCTAAAATGCGAGTATATACATAGATGGGGGGGGGGGGGAAGCTGTCCATTGAACGACAGGTTGAGATTTGTACCATTACCGGGGCCAGTTTTGCAATGCTCTCCCCCGAAGGTGCTCTTTAAGAGAGGTTTTGAAGGTAAGTATAGTTTTACTTTCCTTTACAGTTGTGGGAAGAGCGTTCCACCTTGATGTGGCATAATTGTGAAACGTGTATTCCCCCTTTTTTGTGTCAAATCTGGGTTTCACATGTCACATCACAGAGGCCGCTGGAGGCTGTCATTCGTCTCATTTTGTTTTCAGTAAATACGGATTTATTTCACTGAGCACTTAGTTTTCTCTTCTCCTACATGACAACCTGTGATTATTCCTGTCAGAATAAAACGGACGCAAATGACAATCCTGTTCAACTACTGCATGTCAAGCTATGACAACAATGCCATTTAACAATATTCATTCCTAGCATGGAGGAACAATAGACCTTCTGTGAAAGGCCTCAGTTAAGATATGAATATTAACTCATGTGGTGTCATTGATCAACACATTATGATGATGAACATTAGTTAGTTACATATTTAGGTTAAGATAAACATAATGATTCATAAAATAGACTTTAATGTTGAGGTAATGTCTTGTTATCTGTTCCTATAATTCTCTTCCTCTCTCTATACATTATAAACAGTCCAACAATCCTCCCTTTCTTTTCTTTTTCTAAAAGCGGCCCTTATATGCTTTTATGCACCTCGATTGGAATCCTTTGTTAACTTCTACAACGTAGTGACATCACTATGTAACATCCGGCTTGTATTTGCACTCAATCACATTGTAAGTGAGGCTAAGGGGCGAGATATCTCTAAGCCAGGGATGGGCAACTTGGATGGTGGTGGGGGCCACATCATTTATGTACTGGCCACCAGGGGGCCTCAGATTCACTTGGAACACACACGCACACACACACACACACACACACACACACACACACACACACACACACACACACACACACACACACACACACACACACACACACACACACACACACCACACACACACACACACAACACACACACACACACACACACACACACACACACAATGTAATTATTAACAAATATACTCTCAGTCTGACATCTTCATTGACATTTTTCAATCTTTCAGGGAGCATCCTCTAATAAGCTCGCTAAACACATATCAGTTCACAGAAATGTTATTTAATTTTTACGAGTGGCATGTTTGTATTGAACAGGTTATTTAACAGTGGAATAAAACTATTTTAAACTATTGGAAAGCACGGAAAATGTGTGTGCATTGAGATGAACCATTAGATGACATACACATGAAGTCATGAACACTACCCAGACATTAGTTGTCTAACTTGAACCTAAAACACTTGTAGCCAGTCTCTGCATTCCCCTTATTCCACAATAAGGGTCAACACAGACACCTGTCAGCCCACACTCTGCTGTTCCTCAGCACCACTCCCCCTCCCTCCCGCTGACATTATGAATGAAAAGCGTATTAATCATAGATAACACGGCAGGGTCCGTGACAGTTTGTTTTCATCTGATTTCAAATAAACAAAGTCTTGGTTTTTAGAATATTAAACTTGTTTCGCCAAATTCAGATGATAAAAACAACTTTTAAGCTTGTAAAGGCATAATTACAAGAGGCAACTTAACGTCACAGCAGGCATAACAACAGCCGGTGTTTCTTGTGAGGGTTTCCCCGGGAAACAAACACAATACACACAAACGCATCACAGATTATTTTTGCGGTAATTGGCTGCCGAACGAAGCTCGCGACGTAACTCGGAGTCTAGTGGACGGTACAAGTAAAAGCGGTTGACCAATATCAACAGAGCCGGCCAGCAATCAGAGTAGACTGGGCTCTGGTTTCAGACAGAGGGTGAACAGAGGTGCTGCAGCACAGGCAGTATGAGAAGAGAAGAGCTTTTTGAACATTAAAGCTTGGAGACATGTCACAGTAGAGACACTACATAAATATAATAATGAATAATGAAGTATGAACCTAAAAATGAGCAGAAAAGGGCTCCTGCCAGCCCTGCCTCAATCTCTGAACAAAACCAACACACAATAGAGTACAAATGTCAGGAAATCTAAATTCAAACATGGTATAAATTGTTTCTAAAGATAAAAACAGAATGAAGACAGTTTTAAGAGAAGCAAAAACAAAGATTCAAAAGGATGCGTTCAGCTGACTTTCAGGCACAATACTTAGTGTGTGTGAGGTAACCAGTGTGTTCCTGCTCTGTGTGTCAGGCAGGTGCACAGCGCGGCCTCTCTCTCCCGGGGGGCCGCGGGCCGCCTGCTGATGGAGGCGCTCCCCGGGGAGGAGGCGCTGGCGCTGCAGGAGGCCGACAGCGGGGTGCTGCGGCTCAGGGCCGGAGACCCCTTCCCCGAGGAGATGAGCGCTCTGTGGCTGGGGGTCCAGAGCCTGGGCTTCACGCTGGTCTGCGAGCCCCACGAGAACCTCCTGCTGGCCGAGGGGACGCTGCGGACCCTGACCCGACACTGCCTGGAGCACCTGCACCTGCTGGGGCCCGGCAGCGAGGTGAGACAGGCCCTCATGTCCAACCAGAGCTTCAGGAGACCCTGCACCAAACTGATAAAGAGCATTATGTAATAGTAAAGTAAACAGCAACTCCAATTTACATGAAGGTTAAATATCTGCAGAGTTTTTAATGACCACAAATCATGTTTTGAAGCGGAGTTCGATCTACGCTCAGACCACATCAACCCAGATTAGATTTGATAGAGAATTGATATTATCTGGATGGAGACAAATTATTTAAATTGTCCTTTTTCTGTCTATATGTAAAATATCTTCAAGTGCACTGGTTTTTGATGGAGAATTGCCCGATTGCTCTTAATGAAGTAAAAGCTGTGAAATTGCTTTTTTCCTGTTATCGCAAATGGAACAGAGGTTCCTTAACTTTGACTGTTTTTCCACGAAGGATTGGTTGTACACCTTTTGGTTGTACATTATCAAACAGGCAAGAGTAATGAAGCAAAAACGCTTAGAGCAGCAAAATGCACTTATCAATATAATAGAAGGTTTTATGCATTAAACCATTGATTTACATTGCACATCATATTTGCTGTCAATCTTCTCCTTCATCCATATTGCTGGTGTCTTTATTTATTATTCTATATCATCATACATTTTTCTTTCTTTTAATAATATCACCATCATTATGTTTATTATGTTTCATATCAATTGATTCTCTTTAGAATGTTAATACAAAAGTTATGCATTAAACACACACCATTTTTTTTAGCTAGAGGTAGACAGAGGATGGCAAAGACTAAATGTAATTAATGTATAAGACCTTCCCTCTCTTCTACTTATTTTTCTTTGATGGAACTACTGCACTCTTTGTTTAGAAAAAGGTAAATGGAAGGGAAATATTGACTCATTCCACATTGTATGATTCCTTCAATCTAATATGAATAAAGAAGGAAGAAAAGGTGGCGGTCGTGCAGGTTTTATTTCCTTCTACAACTACCTGCCATCTTTAAAAACTCCTCCTGTCCCTGCAGGTCCTTCTGAGGAGCGACCGCATCGACGCTCTGCTCAGCCGCCTGCTTCCTCACGGCCAGCTCCTCTTCCTCAACCACCGCTTCGCCCACAGCCTGGAGAAGGAAGTGGCAGCTTACATGACAAAGTGACCCAAAAATACCCGCTGTTCGACTTCCTGTTTGAACTCATTACTGCCAGTTGTTCTCCACTGGAGACATCTCTGCGGCAGGAGAAGAAGAGCGGACTGCTGGCAGCTGATTGGTGGTGAACTCACAGCGAGGTAAATATCTGCCTCAGCCACTTGCAGCTGAGTGTTGACTGTTTACTGTGTGGGAGGCTTCAGTTCAAATCCTGTTTGTGAAATTGAAGAGTGGAGAGGAAAATGTGGCAGATTAAAGAGTGCAGCTGAAGAGGCCGGTTAAAACGTCCTCGTCAACATCACAGCAGCTGTTATCTGATTCTCCGTGCTCCGAGCGACTCTGTGTGACCTTCAGGAGCAGACTGAAGGATCCTGGGAGTTTCACTGTGGTTTCTATTGCACCTTTTAAAAAGCAGGATCAAACATTCAACCTGCTTTAATGCACTGCATAGTGCGATTCATTTCATAGCAACAAACAGCAGGAATGGAAAAAACAACAAGATTGATGAAGCTTTTTCCTCCGCCTCCCCCCCTCCTTTTTTCTAAATGGTTGTATGCCGTACATAATGTGATGAATCTCATATAGTAACACACAGCAGAAATGGAGCAAATAAATATAATTTAGAGCTTAAAACGTCCTTATTATTGAGACATCGACACATCTTTTGTTCCTGGAAAGTAGGAGGAAACCCATGTGTTAAAGGTGGGGTAGGTAATTCACTTCAGAAACACTTCTTGTTATATCTCATGGAATGCTCTTAACATCCCGATAGCAATGAATATATTAAATGCTTTGACAATAAATACATAACAAAATGTCATCTGTGGAAGCCGTGGCGCTGTAAAAAGCACGACCAATCATCTGAGCCGGCCCGGCTAAAGTAACTGGATGGCCTACCTGCCTGTCAGCCTTCCATCTGTGCACAAACTTATCTCGTGCCCTCATTGGTCATGTGCGCGAACGTGTGTGTTGGAGGAGGGGCTCTGTGAGGAAGTCTGAAGGAAGGGGCAGATTTATTTCGGCTGCGTACTTTCAAATTCTAGCGCACTCGAGCTGGTTTCTCCATTCTTACCTACCCTACCTTTAAGTATTTATGCATTACAAATAATGCTTCATTGCATAGTAACAAACAGCAGAAATGGAGAAAGTATAACACGTTTGACCCAAAAATAGACAATATTCTTTAGACATAAGCACGTTATTGTTCTTGAAAAATAGTAGGAAACTAGGTATTTGGTGACTTTCATGGTGTTATTCATCTCATAGTAACATACAGCAGGAATGGAGAAAAAAAAAATATAACATTTAGAACAAAAAAAGTTATTATTATTGACATTTTAAGGACAATATGATGGCAGGAAGTAACATCAAATGTTTTAATAAACTAAATTAAAGATATGCAGAGATGCCAGCATGCAGAATAGGACAAAAACAAAACGGGAATAAAAAACAAAATGGAAACTTCCAGACACAACAATTACAAATGTATTCCTGTACCTGAACATCTGTTGTACCTCCGACTACCCCCCCATCCCCCCCCCCCCCCATCATGAAGCCAGACTCCCCTACTCCTCCTCCTCCTCCACATCCTTCTCCTCCTCCCCCTCCTCCTCCTCCTGATTCTGTCTGGGTGCCAGCATCAATTGCTTTGATCTTCTCATTTTTTTCCCCAAATAAAAAAATAAAACTAATTTTAAGCATTACCCAAGGCGCATTCTTTGATAGTTGTGTACTCGGCAATCAAGGACACACGGTGCGTTTCCCAAAAAAACGAGGCACCGGGGAACGCACATTAAAGATGATGGCACACACAAGAGGATTTAGAGGTTGTGTGCATCTCATGGGGAATATAAATAAACACATTCAACGTCAGCTGATTAAAAACACCTGCAGACTGAATAAACACGATGTTTCACTGAACGACCAGCAGAGGGCGCTGTTGTTCCTGCGAGTTTTAATCTGCAGTGAAGGACATTTGTAGGAAACTAATTTATTTTAAGTACAAAAACATATAAAAGGGCCTTTATTCTAATCTAATAACAACAAAATAAAATCATAATTATTTGTATTATGTATTTTAATCTTTGTAAAGCAAAAAGTGTCTTTGAGCACCTGTAGAAGTGCTTGATACATTAAATATATTATTAATATAATTATTTTTAATAAGTCTAAAACCTGGCATTATTATTCACCATGCTGCAAAAATAAAATGTCTAATTGTTGTTTATATTGGGTTTTGGGGCTTTTATTTGTATTACATTTTTATTCTGGGGTGTTATTTTTTTCCTTTTTTTCTCTGGTTATATCCTGTTTGTGGTTCAAGAGCATTATATAGAGAGTATTATTTTTGTTCCATTTATTAACAACTACTTACTTATTTTGCTATTTTTAATGCACTTAAAGGTATCATGTCATGGCCATTTCTACTGATCATATTTCCATTGTTGGGGTCTACTAGAATAGATTTTTGCAATTTTCCAAAATCACATTGGTTTCTCATACAGCATCTCTGTATAGTATGTGTATTCACTCTCTGTCCTACACGGCTTGTTGGAGCTCTCTCTCAGGAGTAGAAACAAACATAACAAAAGACAGTCAGACAAAACAACAAATAGATTTGGGGCCAAAGGCCTTGGCAGACAGATGGGACTTGAGGGCCCTTTTGAAGGCGTCAAGCGTGGGGATGTTGCAGATCTCCGCAAGGAGAGCGTTCCAGAGAGTGGGGGCTGCCTGCCATACTGAATGCTCTGTCCCCGAAGGATCGCAGGTTGATGCGGGGGGCCAGAGTCTGAAGACCGCAGGTTCCGGGGTAGGGCATGTGGGAATTGTATTGATTTGATACAAGCAAGCCAGTGTTTCATTGTGTACTTTCAACTACAGTATATGGTCCGGCAAGTTCAGCATTCACTGTGATGTATATAAAATAAGACACTGATACCGTTTTCCTCAATGAACATTTATTGAACAGAACATCATTTAGAAAATCAGAGCTGGTCAACTTAAAAAAAAATATTGACCTGCAGGAGTTTAAAGCCTATTTAAAAACTCCTCGGAATCTTTCACTGAAGTCCTTCAGCCTTTGGTGTGCTTCCTCACTCATGTTCTTGGTGAGGTCATGAGAACAAAGTTCCATCTCACTGATAAGACAAGATGGTATGAAGAAGTCATATGTAATATTATAAAATCACATGCATCAGGGGTTGTACACTTTAATGTGTCCATTCACTCATTCACTAACCGACTCTTTAGGAAGGAAGCTGTAAGGCCTCCTGTTATAGGAGTGGTCCTCGTCAGTGTCCAGGGGCATCTGTAGACAGTCAACCATTATTTTGACATAAACTCCTCCAAAAATGATCCAGGCTCGATTCAGAATGACACAGTACCACACAAAACAAATGTTGCATGTACCATAAGTTCTATGTAGTATGTGTTTTAGGAGTAGTAACCCACTACCATGTCTGTGAGAATCCCTTCATCGTGAACAATAGGTGAATTGGTGGCCAGAGGGCTGTACGTCAAGGACTGGACATGGACGCAGTCAAACCCGACTAGCCCACTTCTCCGTGCATAGTCATATGCCCTGTTGCACGTTTCCAACTGACAGGTGATACCCAAGTTAGAATTTTGGACATGAATACACGGCACTAGGGCTGCACGATATTGAAAAAAACTGACATCGCGATTTCCCCCCCCCCCCTGCGGTATATATTGTGTTTTTTTTAACCTGTTAAGCCCCAAAGTCCCGGCGGGTACTTTACTTTTTTTTTCACGACAGTGTCTCAGGGGATCTTAATATTTCTAAATATTATTAAATTATTATAATATTATTATTATTATATTAATAATATTTTCTTATTCATTATGTTCTTATTATACATCCATGAGTCTAACACACACACATTACCAAATAAGGAGTGAGAGTGACGGTAGCCAAAACCGGAAGCTGCATACACTCTGGTGGCTACCATTAGCAGCTAACTTTTTTTTTTACATAAAAATGGAATTATGGATTATAAACAATTGCTTCAAAGCCACATATACATTATCAACCTATGGATCAACCGATTCAGCCGCGTTTTTCTCGTTGTAATGCCATTGAACACGTCTTTTGATCAGATTGACAGCTACGGTGAGATCGATCTCCTCTAGAAGCTCCGTAAAAGGTAGGCCTACGTGTTGTGATGTCTGTGTTTGCTTCCCCTGTTGCGAGATCGGATCGCTTAGATACTATACTTAAATAATCTGTGGAGTCTCAGCTTTAATCGGATATATTGTATATGCAGTTTCGATAAGTAATAAGGGTATCTTTATTTTGAATTCTGTGCTAAAGTGCGTTAGCATTTTTTTTTTTTAAATGAATAAAACCGCACTTCCCTGCGGTGTGAATATCGCGCATGCGCATATTGCGGTTATCGCCATGACACGGTATATCGTTCAGCCCTACACGGCACAGGACCCTTAAAAGGTCCTGGAAACTGCAAAAAGTCCCCTTTTTTTATCTATGCACTGTGATTTTAGGTGGCGATTTGCTGTGATGTCCGATGTTTTGGATGAGTGGTGCCTTTGTATGTGCATTTGTTGGTTTTTCCTTTTTAGTTGTAGGCTACAAAAACAACATGTTGTGGTTTAGCGCTTTGACATCAATTTTGGGGGCTGTGGAAATATTGTGCCATGTTGCTGCAGCAGCCGGAGCTATCACTGGAGCGGCCGCCTGAGCTATCACTGGAGCGGCCGTCGGGGCCATCACTGGAGGAGTCGTTGTGGTTGCTGGGGCCACCGCCAACCGGTGCAGCAGTTTTTAAAGTGACTAAAGAACATCTCCTTTCTCCCAATGATTGTTGGGCAAAAGCCACAGTGATAATGGCTGCTGGCCACACATTTGAGATGGCATTTATAAACATTATAACCTAAAAAAGAGACAGAAAGTGGTTTACAGGATTCTAGAAACAAACCAAAATGAATTTCTTGTAAATATGCTATTTGAAACAAGGTGTTTGTGCGAGAGCAATAAATAATCATGTCACCAACGATAATATTTTTGCCTATAAACTGAATTTTTGCAGATTGAATGTGTGATTATGCTCATATTGTGCCTACCCCAAATAAGGATACTATTCGAGCATTATTAACAATTCATAACCTGAATATAAATCTAATTTTTAATGTTCAATTTCTAATTCAAAATTAATTTACACCAAGGATGTCCTGGGGCACAGAAATAACACATGTAATGAGTGAGGCATTAAACACATCTAACAAGTAACATGTAATGTGATGAAGTATACAATGATCATATAGAATTATAGATTTACTTACCTCCATATTTCACAAGTGACCTCTGGTGGCTCTGCAAATGAGCCATCAGACTGGGTGTGACCCGGTCCTTTCACAAAATGGACACTGGAAGGTGTCAGAGTCCAATTTGTTGAGCTCTGGGCGTGCTCCATCACGGAGTGTTGTGTTGTTTGTCTATGTGAATAAAATAGAATACAATTTAAGTGATTTTAATATTGGAAATAGTTAACTCCTTAAACAAGCAGCAATGGACTGGCCTCTATGGGACAAAGCTGGTCATACTTCCTCACGTTCAGAAGGTAACCCTTTAACTGCCAGCGCCACCATTTGGTAGAGCACATTTTGTGTCTTGATATCTTGTTGAAAAAAAAAAAAAAAAAAGTGTAACTCCATCTGATTCAGCCAGCTCTACTCTTTGGTTGATATGTTATGCAAAAAACAACCTCTAGATTTCACTTTGGTTCGAACAGAAAGCCCTTCAGTTTAAATGTCAGGCCTATACAGCATGGCCACAAACCCCATCTAAAAACAGAGGCTCTGTCCTAATTACCTGATTGCATCCACCTGGGTTACTTGGCTCTACCCAAATTCAATAACTACCATTTAACTTTAAACCACACTTAGAATAATAATTATACATATTTACATGTCTACAGTATAGCAGCTAATACATGTTTTAAATAAAAAACATTCAAATGTGAAAGACACCTTCAATTAATATTTAAAATTTACACAAAATCAGATTATTGTAAAAATTAAAGTACATGCATTGTTCCATCTGTCAAGCTAAGATATATACATATATCTTAGCTTGACATGCTAACTGAACGTCGAGCATGTCAAGCTAAGAGCTAAGATATATATATATATATATATATATATATATATATATATATGTATATATATATACACTGAACAAAAATATAAACGCAACACTTTTGTTTTTGCTCCCATTTTTCATGAGATGAACTCAAAGATCTAAAACATTTTCTATATACTCAAAATAACCATTTCTCTCAAATATTGTTCACAAATCGGAAAAAAATCTGTGATAGTGAGCACTTCTCCTTTGCCGAGATAATCCATCCCACCTCACAGGTGTGGCATATCAAGATGCTGATTAGACAGCATGATTATTGCACAGGTGTACCTTAGGCTGGCCACAATAAAAGGCCACTCTGAAACTTGCAGTTTTGCTTTATTGGGGGGGGTCTGGCGGGGTCTGAAAACCAGTCAGTATCTGGTGTGAGGGGTAGGATTAGGGTTAGGGTTAGGGTAATGTTGTGAATGGAGTGGCCTGTGTTCGTCGTCCATAACATACGCCTGCCCATACCATAACCCCACCACCACCATGGGCCACTCGATTCACAACATTACCC